TGAGGACTTGTGCTTTTAAGGGGTGTACATAAATGCAAAACACTCTTGCTCTAAATTTTGAAATGTTGGAATTGGGGTGTTCTGCTTGTTGTCTTCCCTCTTGGTCTATATAATCTCTCTGGTGGTCTCTTTCATCCTTATTCATTCAAATGACCTTACTTTTCAAGAAGGATGTAGGGGTCATTAGTACTAAATGTAACAGATAGATAAGGTAAGTTAAGGACTACAAAGTATCCATTGGATTTAGCACCCAATATTTAAATGGAAATGCATTAGGGTGATGAATGATTACCTCCTGTTTTATTTTCAGTACCTTCCACGTGTAAGTGTTCCAGGAGAGGTTAGACCTGGAGTTGTGCTGGAGAACAGTGTGAGATCAGGAAGCAGTTAACTGAAGGATGGGTAAGTGGTAAGTAGAAATGTTGGAGAGAAGCCAGTCACATGAAGGTGATCAGTGAAAGGCATCTGGAGTTGAGTTGGAGTCTGAATTTATGGTTACTGGTAGCCCCATGACTTTTAGGGTTCTGTATATGTGATAAGCACCTGGATGAAGTGTCAGGTGCGAGAGAGGTGAAGAAATTGATGTTAAAGATACTTTCTAATGAAGGAACAAAACAGAAGCTGATTAGATAGGTGCATAAAGAGCCCCTAAATCACACGATCTTGTTTTCTGAGCTGTCACTGAGTGCAAGAGAATATACCAGAGATAGGCATAAGTAAGTACTGGGATTTACAATCAAGGCCTTATCAGACTGGGTCGGTGGGCTCTGAAGAAGATAAGGGATTCAATAATACCAAGTCCCTGCTTTTCCTTTCTAACTCTTCTTCCCATGTCACTTTGACAAAGTCTTGGGGCTGTTCACAAAAAATGGCATGTTTGCCATGATTTTAGCAGAGAACTAAGGCAGGCTCCTGCATTAGTATTTTCCCCACTCAATTAAACTGAGCGCCCTTTAAACAAAATTAAAGTTCTGAAAAATGTTGAACATCATCAGTTTCCTTTAAACTGTTTCGGGGGTGTTATTTTTTAAATTCAATTCCAAAGCCAGGGTCCTTCCTAGAAACCACCACTTTACTGGTACTAATTGCCTTGTCAGCATTATTAAAACAAAGCTGAAGTTCTGAAGGATCAAGTTGTGAAGGTAAAATGCTTCCTTCTCACTCTGTAGCCCTTCCAACTCAGAACTGAGAAGGAATGGCTGTAGGTGGGAAAACGTAAATGCACTTGAGAGTTACGTTTCCTTTACTAGAGACTATCAAAAGTTAGAGACCCTTTAGGCCGTACATTTCTACATTCAATTAAACATTACTCAACAATGAGGTCTCTGTGTTATATACAAGGTATCTGAGCTACTGTTTCAAAATTCAGGAACTGAATGTACTGCAAAGTCATCCCTTGCACCCTGTGCAGACATTACAGGTTATGAGCCATCTAGTTAGATTAGACTTGATTAAGACTATGAAAGCCTAGTACAGGTTAATGTGATAAATGAATGACTAAACAAGCAGGATTCTACCTTTATATAAGTAGGAGGTTTTAACATTGCAATGCCTAAATTCATGGCTTTGAAGTGAAAAAAGGTAGTATCAGGGATGCACAACTTTTTGTATTCTAGAAGTACCACATCGGAAGTAAGGGAAAAAAAGTCCATTGCCCATTTGTAGTGACAGCAGCACTAAGAATAAGAGACGGTAGTACAATAATGCCACTCATTAACCTAGGCACTAAACACAAACCAGAAATGGCCACATGAGCTGGCAGGTAAGGCCTAGTAGGACCATCCTTTTCTCCATTCCCTAATTCTTCTGTGACATGTTAATTCTCCTAATTTGGTCCTCTGAAACGCTAGTTTCTTAAATTTCTTACTCGTCTGGAAGGAAATCCCTGATGACAAACAAATTCAAAGTTTGGAAGACGGTATTAAGAACATTTTTCACTAGCAAGAGAAGCTGGGATGATTTGTTCAACCAATCCTGACTTATTCTAAAATCCTGTTATGAGCAAACCATACTAAATAGATTCTGCACCCCTGCCAGGGTCTGATTCCATGATTAACTGATTTTTATGTAAGGTAGGAGATGAAATAGTTGTCTGAAGTCACATGTCAAAGGTTCATATTTATTGTGTTAGGCAAGTTCATTTGATCTATGGCCTGAACCCCTGAGTGTTTCCCTTAGCAGTTTTAATCTCTTAGCACTATAGTGATGACTCCCTTAAGTAGGCCACCCAATACCACTAGAACTGTGGAAAAAGCTTTAATGAGGTTTGGGTTATGAGGAGATGTAGCTTTTTTAAAAAGTATATTTTATTGATTATGCTATTACACTTGTCCCAATTTTCCCCCTTGCCCCCCTCTGCCTGGTTTCCCCCTTCTCTGCAGCATCCCTCCCCCTTAGTTCATGTCCATGGGCTATGCATGTAAGCTCTTTGGTGTCTCCATCGTCTATACTGCTCTTAATATACCCCTGTCTATTCTGTATCTACCCAATTATGCTTCTAAATCCCTATACCTTTCCCATTCTCCCCTTTCCCCCTCCCAGCTGATAACCCTACAAATGATCTCCATATCTATGATTCTATTCCTGTTCTGGTTGTTTGCTTAGTTGGTTTTTGTTTTTGATTTTTAGATTCAGTTGTTGATAGTTGTGAGTTTGTTGTCATTTTAATGTTCACAATTTTGATTTTCTTTTTCCTAAATAAGTCCCTTTAACAGTTCACATAATAAGGGCTTGGTGATGATGAACTCCTTTAGCTTTACCTTGTCTGGGAGCACTTTATCTGTCCTTCTATTCTAAATGATAGCTTTGCTGGGGAGAGAATCTTGGCTGTAGGTCCTTGCTTTTCATCACTTTGAATACCTCTTGCCAGCCCTTTCTTGCCTGCAAATTTCTTTGGAGAAATCAGTTGCTGGTCTTATGAGAACCCCTTTGTAGGTAACTCTCTGCCTTTCTGTTGCTGCTTTTAAGGTTCTCTATCTTTAATCTTTGACATTTTAATTATGATGTGTCTTGGTGCGGTCCTCTTTGGGTCCAACTTGTTTGGGACTGTGTTTCCTGGACTTGTTCGTCTATTTCCTTAGCCAAATTAGGAAAGTTTTCTTTCATTATTTCTTCAAATAAGTTTTCGATTTCTTGCTCTTCCTCTTCTTTTTCTGACATCCCTGTGATTCAGTTGTTGGCCTTCTTAGAGATGTCCCAGAGTCTTCTTAAACTGTTTTTTTAGAATTCTTGTTTCTTCATTTTGTTCTGGTTGAATGTTTATTTCTTCCTTATGTTCCAAATCATTGATTTGAATCCTGGTTGCCTTTCCTTCACTGTTGATTTCCTGTGGATTTTTCTTTTATTTCCCTTGGTAAAGCCTTCATTTCCTCCCTTATGCCTTTGCTGTATTCAATGAGATCTTTGAGCATTCTGACCACCAGTGTTTTGAGCTTTGCATCTGATAACTTGGTTATCTCTACATCGCTTAGTTCTTTTTCTGGGGTTCTGTTCTGTTCCTTCATTTGGGCCATATTTCTTTGTGTCCTGATTTTGACAGCCCCCTGTGTCTGTGTACTAGGTAGAGCTGCTTTGATTCCATTTTAGCACATCTGTTAAGTCCTATGGGGTGGAGCCTTGGCTATTAGCCAGGATGGGGCAACTGGGGCTCTGCAGATGGGGGAGTGGTCGAAGAGGGAAGAATGCTGCTGTTTGCTGACTTCTGGGGGCTTGCTTGACCCTTGTCCAATTTCCAGTCAGTTCATCCATTTCCCAAGTGTGATTGATGCCCCTTCAGCTGCTGTCCTGGTTGTGGTTCCCAGGGTGGGTAGGTTAGTGTATGTTCCAGGCTTGGGTAGGGTCTTCTACCACCCCAACCCCCACTGGGTTTACAGCCAGAAGTTATGAGACTTTCTTTTTCCCTGTGCTGGGGCCCTGGACTGTGCTGTATGGCCCGAGACTGGGCTCGATTGATCACAAGGTGTCTCCCTGATTTTTATTCACCACACATGAATGTGGGGCTGCCCAATGCTCCGCCACCTCTCTACCTCTCCAGCCCTCTCACTCACTGCTGCCACGCCAAGTGCTCTCTGCCCCTCCTACCCGTCTTGATGAGTATAGCTTCTTTAAACCCTTGGTTGTTGAACTTTCATACAGTTCTAGGTGTTTTTCTGACAGTTCTGAGTGTTTTTTGTTAAGCTAGTTGTGTCCCTTCTTGTGGTTGCACAATGAGGTGAGGTGTGTCTACCTGTGCCTCGATCTTGACTGAAAGCCTGAAGATGTAACTTTTGATCATTCAGAGTAAATATAAAATCTCAAAGAAATATGGAAAAAAAGATTGAGTCAATTATTATTGCTGTTACATTTAAATTGAAAAATGGCCACCATATCTTTGCAGATGTTTTTAAAAGTCTAAGGAGAAACCTACTAATTACTGACAAGATAGATACCTAGATCTTTTCCACATGAACTGCATTTACTGAATAACTGAAAGTAATTTCACCTAGACTCAGCATTCCTCTTTGCCCTCATGATAAGTCCTCACTGTCCACTGCAGCCCATTAATTGAATGACAATAGTTTGAGTGATGTGTGAATAGTTAGTAGCACTGTAGGATTTTTGGCACCAAATTTATATTCTTATGTGCCTCAGGTAGGCTCAGAACATGCTCTATTTTTGCCATCATCAGAGAATGTAAGCCAGTTATGAAAAGGAGAGATTACAAATGACAGTGTTGAGCAATTTGTATCAGACACTTCCTTCTTTACTAACACACTTGAATTCCTTACTAGATGACATTAAAATACATTTTATAATTTGTAATGCAACCAGCACACAGAAATCTACTGCTCTGTGCATAAAATTCAGCCTTGCCTAGTGAGGCAAAAATTTTCCCGTTTTCTGTTTTCTACGTGAAACTTTTGTAAGCACATCTATGAAGCCCTTGGGTATTCTTTTGAAAAAGAAGAAATTATTCCTAGAAACAAAACATTGTGATGTGTGGAGAAAAAGCAGAATATTACTTGGATTTGGAGGGAAAAGTGTGCAGCTTTTACAGTGTATGATCTCTTTTACTACTGGCATATCTGGTGGAATTGGAGGAGGTACTATTCCCAAGCCAGGCATCATTGGAGTTATTGGTGGAATTCCAGTCATCATTCCAAGAGCAGGATCAAAATCTAAAAAAGGAAAGGAAAGAGAGAACAATAAATGACTCCAGGCCAAGTCAAAGAGAGGCATAATGTTACTTTATAAGTTTTACACCAAAGGTCTCTCTAATATAGAGGCAGAATATTTAAGAAAACATGGTATTAACATTACCAGGTCTTAAATATTATATTATACTCATGCATTTCCTTTTGGGACAAAGCTTCTTAGTTATGTTTGGCCAGTGCCTATTTGCCTCTATATCTAATTTTGACATCCAAGGCCTTTCATAATGTGACTGTGCCTTGTCTATTGGTCTTGCCTTCTACTGGTTCCCAACACACACCCTCTGTTCCATTCAGATAAGGTTTCTTGCTGTCCCTTATAACACTTCCTGGCTTTTTGCAGTATAGGGTAGTGTTAAGAGCATACAGTTTTGGGAATCAGGAAGACCTGGGTCCTAGTTCCATCATTTGCTTATCAGAATGATTTTTTTGAACCTCCATTTCATTATTTGCAAAATAGGGTTAATTCCATTTACCTTATAGGGAGTTGTGAGGAATACACAAAATGATGAATGTAACATGCTTAGCATAATACACAGCACAAAATGCTCAATAAATAACTATTCTCTGTGCCTTTGTTGTTGTTGTCCTCCCTGTGTAGAATCATTTCAGCCTCCCCCACTTCTTCCTATGCCCACAGACCTGGCTTAAGGCCCAACCATCCTGAAACACCCTTTCCAGATAATTGTGATTTTTTCTTAACTCTATGTCTAGTAACTATTCTACACATGTTGCCACTGAATTTTATTTTATGTCATCTGTTTCATTCAGGGATGCTTCCAGAATGTATGGGGGCGCCCAAACAAATATTTTTTGTGGGGCTCATCTTTATACACAATCTGATTCACTCAAAATCAGTGTCAACACTATTCTGTTGGCACAATCTTATGCAATACCATGAAAGAAATAGCATACCAGGCAGCTGGATTGATTTACTTGCCAGCCTAATCTCCTGGAATCAAGCCTCTGGGAGGACTCCATAAGCATGAGTTCTGACACTCCTTGAGGGCATCTAGTGGACTCCACATGTGAGATATAGGGTTGGAGAGTACCCCAAAGGGGAGAAATGGGAACTAGTGTTCACATAGATTCAGATTGAGATTGGGGCTCCTTGCTTAGATGAGTCTGCAAGTCCTGGTCATTTCTAGACACTGGAGGGGAACTTTGAAAATTTCAAGAAAGGTGCTTCTTGCAATCAAGAAAACACATAGGACCAGCTCTGGACTTGGGGAACTACGCTGATGGCACTACCTACCTGGCCAGTGCTCAGTACTGGAAGGGGACTTAGAAATGTATCGAGACAGGAATTCCAAATAATGAGTTCCCCTGAGTGTGGGCCCAGGGCAGGGGCCCCGCTTGCCTGTCTCTAGAGGTGGTACTGACTTAATTGTTTACATTTTGTCTCTCTATCCAAATACAAGTTCTTTGAGAGAAGAGTGCGTATTCTACTGCTTTATTTTCCCACTTCTCACCTCTGCCCTGTGCTGTAGAATGTACAGTGGACTGCAAACAAAGTATTACATAAGGAGTGCTGATAATGTAGGGACAGCTGTACTAGCACAGCAGGTCCTATGCCGGAAATCTTTACTCTGCTCAACACACAGGTCTGAGGGGCAATGCTTGTAAGCATGTCCTCAAATTTGCTCTGAATCCCCAGGGTGGCTCTCTAAGATATTGAAGGAAGTAGATCTAAGCAGTGGGAAGAATCTATGATTCCTACAAGGCAGAACTTCAGGTACGATGGGCCCGGTGGGAGGGAGTCTTGTGACTAGGCAGACAGGCAAGTGGGTGGCACATGGGCATCTCCCACTGCAAGTCAGACGAAAAAAGCTAGGGCATTCCCCATCCTCTGACATGCATGCCATACTAAGGTATCAAGACTGCAGACATGTATGTGAAGAAAAAAATTTCTTCAAAAAGGAAATTTTATTTTTCTCCCATCCAAGTGCTGACCAGACACGACCCTGATTAGCTTCCAAGATCAGATGAGATTGGACGCTTTCAGGGTGGTATGGCCGTAGACAAAATTTTGTTTTTTCTGAAAACAATTTACCTTTAGCTTTCCCATGTCACCTCACCGAACATGCATGTATACATACACACTCCTTCCCTTCCCTGTAGCTGTTACGTCCCTACTCTCCTCCACATACTAGTTATAAGACCTTGAGGAAGGTTTCTTAAAATCTGTGCCTTCTTTCCTTTTTGATAAAGTGGGGATAAATAATGACAATTATCTCAAAGGATGAAAGCACAGAACAGATAAGAAAAACTCTGGCATGATAGGTGGTAGTCCTGATAGGTAACTTTCCTTCTTTTCATTCACAACATGTATACACACACTAATAAATTCAGTTTTTCAGGCATTCATTCCTACATTCCTCAAACTTTAGTGATAGTATTCTATATTTCACACTCTAGGCAGCTAGAGACTGGGGTCCAAGTCCTCCTTTCTATCGTGGAGAACTTAAGGCCCCTCATACTCTGTTCCTATGCTGTAGCATAAGAGCGCTGTGGTTAAGAATGCCATTTATGGCTTTGGAAAATTTCATTCCTTATGTATAAGATTTTGGAAAAATTGTTAACATTACTTCACCCATTTACAAACTGCTAATTTTCAGTGGGAAAAGATTAGATTAGATTGTGTGCCAACTAAACAATTCTATCTACTTTTTTCCTCCCACTGAAATGTTTGTCTTCCTTTTATTGTTCTGCCTGCCTCCTCATTGTTATTCATATAGGTCTGTCACTCACATCTCTACCTTACCACAGATTACAGAAACACCAGTTCATTAAAAAACTTCTGCCACGTTGACAGAGAAAGAAATGTCTGTCTCCATGTACTGTCTACTAATAAATGGAGACAAACAAAAAACAAATACACAGGATAAATATAACTCCTGACTAATGTACTCTCCACTCTGCTGTTTGGTATGATTACATTAATATTTTATGAAATTCATTTAAAAGAAAATGTATTCATGACATATGGCTAAAGCCAGAGGAGATAAACTCCTTTTTTTCCCTTGTGTTCAATATGCCAAGAGTTTCACAGGTGACACAGCCCAGCAGGGCTTGCCAGAGGGCAAGTTGTACATCACATTTCAAAGGTTCCTGTCCCATTGATTATTTCTTTTCTTTATTTTCAACCATTAAGCAGCAAAGGAGACGTGAATTTCCAATGCCAACTAAGAAAATGCACATTTGAAATCATGGCTTTATACAAGTATTGTAGAACCTGAAAAATCAAAGAAGTCCAACAATTTTATGTTAGGAATTTAATCTTCTGAAGGAGATTTGAAATGTCTCTATAAAGCACTGTGGAAAAGCCCAAGATGTATTCCTCTAAACTCCTTTTCACAATAAATACCCTGTTCTGTCTTGCTTTTACCATCTCTTCTTCTAGCACCCTTTCCCTACTGCTTTCTTGATTCTTGGCACAGCCATTGGCAGAAGTGTCATAAAATGTTGGTTTGTATTCCCTCTTCTGAACTGTGCACTTCCCAAAATCCTGGCTTACTGGAAGTGCTACAAATGCTGTGGTGTTAGTTGGGCCTGCTTACTCCTCAGAGTTAAAATCATGTAATGTTTTCAGTGTACCTTTAAGCCTTTCTGCTGCCCAGCATTTTGCACTTACTCAACCTGGAGTAGTTAGTTACCTGGCATTATTTATCATTCTCCATTCTCTGTTCACATCTGAGCTAGCAAGTTACAATGGAAGCAAATGCCATTTCTATGTTATAGTTCTGTTACACATTTATCCACCTATTCAATATTTTGATGCCAGGCCCTCTACCAGGTGTTGGGGTTTGAGGAACGAGTAAGACAAAATCCTTGACCTCACAGTTTAGTTTGGAAAAAGTCAAGCAATCAGTTACAACACTGTATCATCAATAATTATCATCACTATAATTGTTTATTGAGCACTTACAAATGTGTTAGGCATTGTGTTAAGCTTATATAATCTAATTCTAAAAGAGCTGTGAGCTAGGCATTCTTCTTCTTCATTTTATAGATAAAGAAACTGGGGCTCAGAGGTGTTGAGTTACTTGCCCAAGGGTATACAGCCAGTAAGAGGCAAACCTGAGATTCAAAGTCAGGTTAGTCTAACTTTAATGCTCTTGGCCACTGCACTGCCACTCAATGTAGTATGACAATTGTTTTTAATGAATTGATTTAATTGAAGGTATAAGGTGAAGCAAGTGTGCTGAAAACATGGCAGATGAGTAACAAATTACCTCTAATTAATTTTGCAAGTGTGGTAAATTAAATGTGGATACAAATTCTTTGATAATCCTCCCATTAAAAGGTGAGGTCTATACCCTACCCCCGTGAGAACCTAGATGGGCTCTAGAATTGAATTGACCAATAGAATATGGAAGAAGGGTTACTGTGTCTGTTTTCAGGCCCAGGACTTAAGATAGAGAAAATTTCCACTTATTTCTGGAAACACTTGCTATGGGAGCTTCAAATCACCATATATCATATCCAACTCCCACACTGGAGATACCATGTGGTGAGGATCTTAGTGGAAATAGAAAGGGAGGGATACTGCTGAGCCCATTGTTTTCTCTGTCCCTGCCAGGGTGCCATCATGAGTAAAGTTGTCTTGAGACCTCCAGACTAGCTGGCTACAACTCAGGCATTCCAGTTGATACTATATGAAACAGAACACCCATTTGAGTCCTGATCAAATTCTTCATCCAGAAAAAATCTTAAAATATAATAAAATGATTGCATTTTAAATCACTAACTTATAAAGTAGTTTGTCATACAGTGATAGGTAAGCAAAATATGCTGCATGCTTGGGGACTAGGGTGTGATTGTTTAATAGAGTTAGCTATTTTAAAAAGAATAAAAAAAGAAAGTACACTAAGCACCCAAACTAGACTTACCATGTTTTTTCTGATTATTGACAAGGTTCTATGGGATCCAGCAGGGCCCCAGAACCACTGTCTTGATCACTTGTT